ATCATCAATAGAGGAACACAATAATTGCTCATGCTAGGTGGTAGGAATATGGGTTTTGTTGTATCCATTGTAATTTTCTAGTTTTAAAAATTAAAATCTCTAGACTTGAAGGAGCAATACAAAGCTTTAGAGACAAAAAAAAACAGTAGAGGAAATTCATATCCTCTAGAAATATTAAAAGGACTTCTGTAAAATGGACTTCTATGAAACAAAACACCAAAATACAGAAGAAAACATAGGCAAAATCCTCAGCAACATTGATTTCAGAGATGTCTTTGGGGACTCCATTCCAACAGAAAGGGAAACAAAAGCAGAAAAAAAAATGAGACTACATCAAACTAAAATGTTTCTGCACAGTGAAAGAACATGACACCGCAAAATAAGATGACATCCTACTGAATGGGAGATACTGATTGGTACCTCATACATCTGACAAGGAATTACTATCCATAATCAACAAAAGACTCATACAACTTCAACAATAACAAAAAAATCCAATCCAAAAATAGGCAGAAGATATGAATACACACTTCTCCAAAGAAGACATACAGATGGCCAATAGGTGGATGAAAAAATGCTCATCATTCCTTATTATCAGGGAAGTGTAAAGAAAAACCACAATGAAATACCACTTCACATTTGTGAGAATATCCTATATCAAAAAGATCAGAAACAATGTTGGTGGAGGTATGGAGAAAAGTTATCCTCATACACTCTTGTTGGGAATGTAAACCTCCATTACCTATGGGAAACAGTATGGGGGAGGTTCTCAAAATATTAAAAATAGATCTACCATTTGATCCAACATTCCACTCAGAGATACATGGCTGAAGAATATAAAATATTAACTCAAAAACATATATGTATTCTTGTGTTCATTGTATCACTATTTACAATAACCAAGCTATGGAAACAACCTAAGTGCCCAATGGATAAAGAAGATGAAGTATAGATACATAATGGCATACTACTTGGCTAGGAAAAAGATCGATTTTTGCATTTACAACTGGTGGGGATTATGTTAAGTGAAATAACTCAAAAGTAGAAATACAAAAACTGGATAATTTCAGTCATATATGGAACATAAAGGAGCTAAGCAAAAGCAAATCAAAACAAACCTGTGGAATACAGAACTGAGGTTACCAAACTAGGAGAGAAAGGGCAGAGAGGGTCCAATAGACTCTGGAGGAGCATTACTGGTACTTTGATGGTGGGTATGATATGGCAACATTCATGTGTAGAGGAATAAACCTTACTCCTAAAACATACACAGTATTGTAAACCAACATTACCACGAATAAAAAAAAACTCTAAAGCTAAAAACTCATCTGCTAAATTTAATTTTTTATTGTAGATATAGGGACCATCCTACTTATTGAAACACTTCATTTAGTTGAAAATAAAAATAGTAACCAGATAGTTTGTTTATCTTTTCTTATGCAAGCTAATTAATTTAAATTTTCATCGCAATAATTTATTATCTATTATTTGATCATGTTTGCTATTTTCTTTGAACCTTAAGAAAATTCACTCTATCATTTTCAAAAAATAATTATCAAAACTAGGAGAATGCTGTTTACCAAAGATCTAAAGAAGGACAGAGTTGATTGTTTAATTAATGGGGAACCTTGCAGAATCATGCTCAGTAATGCCCAATGATACTTATTTAATGTAAGCATTATCTGAAATTTTTATTTATCTTTTGGGAATTAAAAAAATCACAAAGAAAAAGAGTAAAGTCCACAAAACTGTAGGCTTGCTCAACTTCCTAAACAAGGCAGAGCAAAAGGAAATACATCTTTGTGGGGAGGCAGAGGCAGAAGAAAGAAAGGCTGAGGCAGACATGCTTAATGCCCACCCCAAAACTCACCCTCATATCTATCAGCGAGCCCTGTTTCTGGGGAGCAGAAAGATGAGGATGGGAAAATATTAGTTTCTATCTCAGAGAGGTGCTATGGGGATTAAATATATTATAAATGTTAATATCAATTTAAAAATATTTACTATTATGTCATACAATCATAAAACAATATAATAAACATAATCTAATGATAGCATATTAAATTAAATAGGTTAATATATAAGTATATAAATATCAATATCTTCAATACAATAAAATACAGAGAAAACACTAAGAAAAAGGCATACAGATGTTAGAGATGCTTATTTTTCTTTGTATTCCTGAAACTTAGCACTGTGCTTGACACTTAGTAGTTGCCTACTCATTGTTTATTCATTCATTCACTCAGCCATGTACCCAAACACTTTTGACTGCTAGACGCACGTTGCTTCTTACCTACCCCGCAGGAGGCTATGAGGATTTGTCCAGCTGATATCCATATCTTATCCCTCAATAGGTTCTAAACACAGGCAGGGAAAAGAGAAACATTACTTATGAGTCCCCCCACCCTTCAAACCCCAACGACACCTAAATACTTTTGTGGTAAGTACTGGGGAAGAGGCAGTCAAGGTCTGAAGCAGGAATCAGAGATGAGTCAAGGAGATGAGGTAGAGATTTCCCAGTTAAAGGACAGAAATCTCATGGCAGGGTGGGTATGCCGGTAAGGGAGCTTGAAAGAGGGTTGGGCAGATGGACCGAGAGAATGAGGGGCATATAGAACAAATGAAGGCTGATACAGGCAGGCAGGCTGCAGAGTCCTAAGAGCAACAGAGATGCCACAGGAAAACTTGGCATTTTGAATGATCCCTTTAGCTGCTTTGTGGAAAATGGATTGCAGGAAACCAAAATGGACATGGGTGGACCAACAGGAGTCAAAGCTAGAGGATTTATAATTGCTTCAAGGATTGAGGTGATGGGGGTAAAAGAGGGCAGATTTGATTGCTATTTAGGAGGCAAACTTGTCAAAATTTGATGATAGATGGGTGGAAATGTCAAAATAACTCTTGGGTTTTCAATTTGCATAGCTGAGTGGATAAGAAGCACACTCAGTGTATGAACAAAAGCAAAACAAAACAAAAAATCCAAAATCAGCATTTGAGAGAGAGAACATGAGTTCAGATTTGATGTTGAGTCTGCAGTGATTCAAAAAATCAAAGTGAAGATGTTCAGAAGGCATTTGTTATGGAGACCTGGGGTCAAAGAAGAGAGCTGTACTGAAACTGCATTTATGAACTTACATTAAAAATATGTATTATGGGGCCTCCCCGGTGGTGCAACGGTTGAGCGCTGGGTTGCCAAGCTGCCCGCAGCCCCTGCAGCGCCGGTTCGATCCCCAGCTGCTCCCCGGCCACCGGAGGAGGGTCCCACATGGCGCGCAGACCTCTCCTGCCGCCCGCTGCTCCCCTCAGCAGTGTACTTCGGTCCTTCTGCCTGCTCTGCTCCCCGCTCTGGCTCTGGTGAATTCTCTCACCCTCCCGGGCTTCTGACTGTACCCAGTGCTTGTATGTATAAATAAATAAATAAATAAATAAATAAATAAATAAATAAATAAATAAATCTTTAAAAAAAAAGAATACATATATATATATGTGTGTGTGTTATGGGGCCTCCCTGGTAGCACAAGGAGTTAAGTCTCAGCACTATGAAGCTATTGGCAGCCACTGCAGCACGAGTTGGATCCCTCACCCTTCTTCCCTCCTCTTTTTTAAACTCTGAATATAGGAATTAAAGTAATTAAAATGACTCCCTTCCCTCTCCTTCCCACCTCTATCTCCACATACATAGGTATACAGATGAGTATAGCAATATAAGCAGTGAATTTAGGTAGTAATTAAATTAAAATTATATGCAGTAGTTGAAGACAAACATATGGTGTGATCACTTAGGGACAAATTGTAGATAGACGAAGAAAGGGTGTTCAGGACTGAGCCAACAAGCAGTGGTTAGATGCAGGAGGAGCAACCCACAAACCAGATGAAGAAGAAGCAGTGCAAAGGTAGGAGGAAAGCAGCGACTGTGCAGCCAAAGAGAGAGAGTGTGTGTCCAAAGAGAATGTTGGTTGCACTGAAACTGAAGATCAGTGGTAATCATTCATCCCCATTTTTATCCCTTTTTATCCAGGTTCTCAGAGAACGCTTTAAGTTTCATTCACCTATGCTTTAAGTTTCATTCACCCTGCCTCACCTTCTGTGTGCTCACTGCTCAGAAAATACCAACCCTATTAAAATATCCTGGGGTTTACTTAGCATTGCTTCCTCTACTTAGGGAAGAAATGAACTCCTGAGGCTCTTAGGAAGGGCTACCTAGGGGCAAATAATAGATGGAAACTGAACAAGTTCCAAAGCTCCAGAAACCTGATGGTCTCCTCCAACAGGAAGGGAATGGGGAGAGAAAATGGTTTGCAAATATTCTGCTTTGCATTTAAAATTTTGGATTTTAGAGGCTATGTTGCTCCAAATGCTATAACAATTACATCCCTTCAGTGCCTGCCAATCCAGTTTGTCCCATTACCAAGAGCTGATGACTAAATGTAGGCATCATCAGTGGGGAGAAGGCACCTGGAGGGAGCAGGCAGGTGGAATGACATCTACTTACCTTTCCCCAACATGTCCACAGGACATCTGCTAGGAATATGAGTAAGAATTGGGTAAAAGCCTCCTCCCTGCCTTTTGCTTACTTTTGCCCCCAAGGCTTTAGCTCCAGCTATCAATGCAATTAGTCAGAAGCTTCCTGAGAACCGGAATTTTGTTTTGCTCACTGTTATCATCACAATTCTTGGTCCACAGAAGAGGCCCAGTAAGTGCGAGTTCTGTGAATGAGTGAATGAGAGATCATCTTCACCAGTTTTTATGTAAAAGGAAATACATTGTCATACACAGGGCCACTGCCAGGAACACAAATAGGAAATGTCATGAAGAGCTTCCCAAAGCCCTGGATCTTTTCCCTTATGCCTCCTGTTTGCCCAGCTGTGTAAATGTCAAGGGTTTGATGCCCAACTCTGACGTGTCACAACAACAAATGAGAAAGCAGACATCAAACCACAGAAAGGGAAGAACTGGCTTTGCACTCAGTAGATACTCAGTAAACGTTTTTGACTTACCTTGGATATTATTCAAATCTACAGGGCCAGCTGTTTTGCTTCCTACGGTACATCATGAATTAGCGCACTGGTGCTTGCTGCTCTGCTTGCCACAGCTCCTGAAGACTAATACATTCCTAAAAACTGGAAAAAGTCCAATTTCATGTCTTTCTGAATGAAGGATGAAAGGGATGACCTTGAAAATGATTAAGCTTGCAGCAATACCCTGAAAAATAGTGCAATAAATCAGCTAAATATCAATTTAGAAGTGCTGAGCGGAGAACGAAGCATAAGGTACAATTTTGTGATAAATGATACTTGTCTGACTCATCTAATTTCCTTCTAGGCAGAAGGGTAAGTCAGGTTGAAGGAAAGTGAATGATAAATTAAACAATTTTTACCCATCAAATATTTTCATTTTGTATTGCATAACAATTTAAAACGAGAAAAACATTCTAGGCAGTTACGTTGCTAGGAGGATTATACTCTAAGAAGAATCACTGTCAGCCATATAACAAATGTGATCATAAAGGAATCATATAGACACTGGCTTTAAATTCATTTATGCAAGACATTACTGAACAGTTACTATTTTCCAGACACTGTTGTAGACACAATGAGGACACAACACTGAATAAAACAGTCTAAAATCCTTGTCCCATGGAGCTTATGTTTTAGAGAGGAAGAGAAAATGTATGTATGGTAAGTTAGATAATATTAAGAGTTAAGAAAAAAAGAGCAGCAGGGAAGGGGAAAGAAAGTGTGGATTGAGGGGTTATAATTTTAGATGGAATGGCTATTGGAAGACCTTATATTTTGTCTAAAGATTTGAGTTAGGTGAATGTGTGAGTCATCCAGATATTTGGAGAAGAGCATTTCTGATGTGAAAATAACATGTACGAGGGCCCTGAGACAGAAACATGTTTGATGTTTTGCAATGAGGCTATATTGGAGTGAGTAGAGTTGAAGTAGCAGGGGTAGGGTCAAGATAACTAAGCATTCTCATCAATGACTACTGGATGTCCAGTACTAGGTAGCTCTTTGTATTGGGGGGGGAATACTCTGTCATGTAAATCTAGGTAGGGGGCTAGAATACCCTCAGCCCCAACCTTTGTGGAAGCGAGCCTCTTCCACTTCTTGGTTTAAGAGAGAGCAAGTAGACTTGAGAAATTGGTTGCTCCTACTCAGGACTTGGAGCTATAAGGGAAAGACTCAAGGCCTCAGACTGGGCTCAGTGGTGCTAAGAGCCTGTGACAGTAGGGTCCACAGTCCAGCGTGTGTAATACCAGCGGCAGAGTCCTGTCCTGAGTGTCCTTGTGGTGTCACCTTAGATATGTCTTCCTGCCCAGGCTTCCTGAGGTCCTAGTGCTCTAATCTTCCTTTCTTCTGTAAACTAATTGACAAGCCAATGAAAACCCCTTTTTTGCTTCAGTTAGACAGAATTGCTTCTTGTGTCTTGGAACTAAAAATACTGATACCAGGGAGTATAATTCAAAAACAGCCTTTACCAGCTAGGCAGACAGACAGGGAGAAAACAAACTAATACCAGATTCACTACTCCTGCCCATACCTGCGACTTATAAGGGCTTATACCAACATAAAATATATCCATACAGCGTCATAGCTCATGTTTCCAAAGATGGTTGCAATATCTCCCACCGCACATGCCATTTTGCACTGTAACCTTGCCTCTCTCCCAAAAAGAGGTGGAGGTATTTCCTTTTCGCTTAAATCTGTGCTATTTCTGTGACCTGTTTTGACCAACAAAATGTGACAGAAATTATGCTCTGTTTCCAAGGTTGATCCTCCACCTTATGAGCCAGCTGCCCTATAAGAAGTCCCACCACCCTGGGAAAGACCAAGTGAGAGAGGGCTGAAGACACCTCGGGCATTCCCACTCAGCTAAACTCACAACTGAGTGCAATCTCATAAGTAAGCCCAGTCAGTGTCACATGGAGCAGAAGGACCACCTAGCTGGTCCTCAGGCTCATCAGCAAATAAAATGACTGTTGTTTGAAGCTACTAAATTTGGGGGTGGTTGTTACATAGCCATGGATAACTGAGGCATACAAATACTGTCACAATACAAAATTTTAATTAAGTACTTAATTGTATGAGGTTTCAGTCAGGAGGTTTACAAAGACAAGTGTGTGTGTGTGGAGGGGGGGAAGTTCAAGGAGATGTCTAGGAAAATTGAAGGAGGAGAAAGAATAAAAGAGAAAAGAGTTAACAGAAGGCTTACCGTTCTCTCAGGACCATATGCCAAGCACAGGGTTGTGAACTTAAAAATCACTGGAAATATATTCATTAAACTGACCCATATCCAACTACTGGGCATACAAAAATCAGTCATCTACCACCTCATCTTTCAGTGTACAAATGGTTAAAACACAGCTTTACTGATTATGCTTATGAACGTATAACCAAGTTGCTGGAACTGGCCTGCCACAGGTAAGTACTCACTGAAAGATTGTGGCAGGAAATAAACATACATGGGAACTGCAATTAATTTAAATTTATTGCCTGGTAATTATCACATATGTAATAGAGAAGTTCATCCAATTTAGGCTTTCTAACCTGATGACTGTTGAAATGGGAAGAGATGGAGTTCATTGGAGAGGCTCCAGAAATTGATAAAATGGATATGATACCATTACCAGAAACTCAAAAAGGGTTAGGAAGGATAAAGTTGAAAATAAAGATTTGTGAAAGCTGCTCATAAACAACTTGAAACTGATAGTTTCTTCTAATTTACACCTTTAATTCTACCTCCATGTTTGTCTTTTATTTTATTCTCCTAAATCAGAAAAAGATCTTCAAACTGGAAAATATAAAATTCAACATGTAAAGAAATGAAGGAGATTAGAGTATCTTACTGCATTAAATGAGTCTAGGTTTCTAAACCCAAGCAAGGTTTGACTGAAGGTAGCATGGCCTCACTGAGTGCCCTCAGTTGATCTAGAGGGCTTGGAGCTTCAACCTCCCTGAAGGGAAATGCATCTTTTGGGTTTGATCTTAAACCAAATCAATGTTTAGGCTGGCAGCTTTATAAGACCTTCACTGCATCCCACCTCCCCACTGCCCATGCCCTAATAAACCTTTACTAAGTTCTAGTAGTATTCACTTGGTCCTTTCCAACCCTGCAGCCCATGTCATGCCAGAGGGCTCTCCTCACTAGGCTACCCTGCCAACCAACCGCATGGATGAGGGAATGGATGGAATTCCCCTTTGGTCAAATAGAACACTAGTCTCTACAGGGGCAGGTATGTACAGGATAAACACACAGAATCCCACACAAGTCTGTTCTGTACTGTTGGACTCTGGAATGAGCAGGGTCTTGACATTGATGCATAATGTCTTCCCCCAAAGACTAGTGGTGATCTAATTGTAGATTGACACGCTGAGGCCTTCTCCTTTTTGTAAACCTCTGCTGAATACAATGCATCAGGATCCAAAATAATATTAAAGTATTACTGATCATCAAAATTACGAAAATGATCAAGCTTTTTCCCAAGGGGAGCCCCAGAATGCTGCTTCATCCAAATGACCTTGGAAAAAACTGCAAAGTTTACACATGCACTGTCTGCTCCCTAAAATGAACTCATACTCTGCTATATCATCCAACATTCTTATGGATAAATGCCCAGAAATGAACTCATAAAATTAAGTAACTTTTTCAAGTCATTGATCTAGAGTCTAAACTTAATTTATCCTTTAGCAAATGTCATGTATCAGTTAGCTCCCAGATTAAAAGGGAAGCTTTTTGAAATAAATTGTAAGTCAAAATGTTTAAAGAATTAAGCATTGAGTCATATAGCATTGTATCAAAACTAAATGTGCATCATTAAAGGGATTATTTGCAAAGAAGATTGGAAGCAAATCAAATGTCTATCACTAAAGATTTGATTAAATCAATTGTGACATATCTACATATTGGAATACTATGTAGCTGTACAAAAGAACTAGGAAGCAAGTGAGGAACAAGTAAGGAAAGTTACCCAAAATGTTAAATTAAAAAAAGCTGAGTTCTGGGCCTACCCGGTGGCGCAGCGGTTGAGTGTTGGGTTGCGAAGCTGCCTGCAGCCTCTGCAGCGCTGGTTCGATCCCCAGCTGCTCCCCGGCCACTGGAGGAGGGTCCCACATGGCGCGCAGACCTCTCCTGCCGCCCGCTGCTCCCCTCAGCAGTGTACTTCGGTCCTTCTGCCTGCTCTACTCCCCACTCTGGCTCTGGTGAATTCTCACCCTCCCGTGCTTCTGACTGTACCCAGTGCTTGTATAAATAAATAAATAAATCTTAAAAAAAAAAAAAGTTTAGAAAAGTTTAAAAAAAAAAAGCTGAGTTCTAAAAGAGTATGTCATGCTTTGGTAGAGAAGAGAGAAATATGAGAATTTATATTTGTGATTTGCTGGTAAATGCATTAAACGACTCTGAAACTAAGTATACATAAGAAATTAAGAAGAGTGTTTACATATGGAAAGTAGGAATTGGGTAATGGAGACATGGCCTGAGGTGGGGGAGACATTTCACTATATAAATTTTTAGACCCATGAGATACACTAATGAGTATTGGCCCATGAGAATGTATTACCTATTTAGAACATGACATTTTAAATATGTGTAACAGCAAAACTTAATTCAGATCCTATTCATTGGGAATTTGTGGTGAGTTGTACATAGTAAAGGCAGGGTAATGGATTATCTCTTCATTCCATGGGGAAGAAGGGAAGTGCAAAGAGTGTGAAAGAGAACTAGGCTCTTCCTCTGAGTCTTCAGGTTTTTTTAAAGTTTTATTTATTTATGCAATATAGGAGCTGGGGTGTAGGCCAGAGGTGTGGGGCAGGGGGTGAGAGGATTCACCAGAGGCAGAGTGAGGAGCAGAACAGGGGAATCTACTGAAATACACTGCTGAGGGGAACATCGGGTGAGACCGGAGAGGTCTGCTGTGCCATGTGGGTTAGCTCCCTGGTCGGGGATCAAACTTGTGCTGCAATGGCTGCCAATAGCTTCATCATGCTGAGACTTAACCCCTTGTGCTACCAGGGAAGTACTGAGTCTTCAGTTCTTAAAGAGAAGTAAATGGAAAAGAGAAGCATTCCCTTATTCTCATCCCAACTTTATTGAAGTCCCCTACAGGAATTTCAGTGCACATCCAGTTTTTAATAAAAGCTTAAAATCATTGGAGACTTAGGCATTCAACAAACATTCATTAAGTACCTTCTAATGGGGATAATAGTCAATTCTAATCCTTAAGAAGATCACAATCCAGGATCCAGGGGAGGGTGGTAATGCGGGGTGACATAAATAGGAGTGATGTGACAGAGGGTGGAGGAACGCCTACTTCAGACTGGGAACAGAGGTCTGTGCCTGGGTCAAGACAGGTGCTGTTTGGGTGTAAGTATCTGGGAAAGAGCCCCCCTGCAGGATAGGAGTGAATTGAGTGTGTACTAAGTAATAGATTAATTTCTTAATAGAGTTAAATTCTTAATAAAATTCTTAATGACTCTAAATGCTTTTATGAAGTCTACGTCCAGCTCTCAACAGTGAAAATTGCAAAGTAAGTGCAGTGCATGAACCAAACCACTATGTGAGTTAACCAAGATTGTCAATTTCAAATTTACAGCTCCTTATTCTACTTTCCTTACAGGGAAACCTCTCACTGCTTCCAATATTTACCTTTTGTTCAGTGATCATCATCTTCCCACAGAATTTGAGAATGAGTCCAATCAGGTCTTTGAAGCCGTTAAAAGTAGATGAAGAATAGACACTGCCAAAAATCGCAGAATTTGATAAAGTTAGAGGAATAATGATTCTGTTTAGATGACTGGTACTGCAATTACAGTATTGCTATAAAGTATTTCTTGAATCCATTATCAAAATTAATCATCTTTAAGACTGTTACTGTCTAAGCTGTCCTCTTGAAGCTCCCCAGTGGTCCCCAATATGGCTATTCACGCCTTATATGTGGGCTGCTGTGGGCTATTACTGTGCCCATCACAGTGAATCCCACACAGTAACAATTCTGTCACCAGCTGAGAGCACATTGCCTGCCTTCTTGCTTTATCCTTAGCTTCTACCATATTACAAGATCCAGGCAGGCAATACAGTTGAATGATAGAAAGAATAAATGAATATTAATGAGTGTAGTTTAATTTTGAGTCTCCAAAAATACTTATCAACAGATCAAATATTTAATGTGCTTAAATTTTAAATTTACACTTAAGCCTGTTTCACCTTATTATTTGTAAAAATACCAAAAACAGTGTTTTGAGGTCACTGTCTTTTTTTTTCCAAAAGAAAATGTATCTTTAACAGTGATTCCAGCATACTCTCATTTTTATTCAACCATATTAAGAAAAGTACAAACATACCCTAAGAATCCAAAGTTATAACAAAGAAATTAAATAAGCGGAGGAAAATAAACTTGATTTGCAAACAGATTCAGTAGTAGCAATAAATGAAGCACCAAAATCTCACAATTTGCCAAATGATTGTGAGTAATATAACTGTTGTATTTTCCCTTGTTTTTTTAATGAGGTATGATTGACATACAAAATCTGTGTATCTTTAATGTATACATCCTAATAAGTTTGAATGTAAATACATACCTATGTATCCATTGCCATAAACAATGTCATAAAGGTAACTGTCACCTTTCCCGTTACTTTCATGAAAAGAACATTTAACATAAGATGTATCCTCTTCAGCTTTGAAGTACATAGCACAATCTTGTTAACCATTCTATGGATTGGATCTGTAGGACTTGTTCATCTTCATACATGAAAATATCTACCCTTTGACCAAAAACTTCCAGATCCTGCCTCCCCACAATAATACCATTCTGCTGGTAACACCAGAGTTTGGTATGTGAGGAGCTCAGAGAGCAAATGGGGGGGTGCTATTTGTAGGGTCTTCTGACCAAGGATACTCTGCTTCTATTCAGCATGAGGTAAGAATGGAAGAGGCATGAGTGAAGAGGAACATGATCAAAGGTTGGACTTGATAGGACAGACTGCCGTGCATGGAGCAGTGTTGACTGTGGGAGAGAAGTTGGTGGCCATGATAACAGAAGAGAGCTTGGGTTAGGAAGACAGTGGTGTTGGTGCTGAGAGGTGACTGGACTTCAAATCTTTTTTATTAGGATTTTTTTTTGAAGGATCATTGCACTATAACATAGAACTTTCAAATGTGTATCGTTGAAAACCAACGTGTGTATTATATATTACATTAAGTTCAACTGTAAAAATTCAGTTCTATCCTTCACTATACAATTATCCCCTCTGGCCTGGTTTACCTACCCTTCTTCCATCCCCTTCTGCTAACTACTAATTGGTGTAGAGATATTCTGATGGTGTAACTAGTTACAGGATGGCAGCTTTCTGAGGAGGCTGGCCTGTGGGCTAGAGTAGGATAATTCTACAATAATACAGGGAAAAAGATGAAGCAATAAATTTGGTTTCTAAAGCACCCAGCAACTCTCTTGAGAACATGGAAGCAAATCCTCCCTAGCTGAGCCTCGGATGGCCCCAGCCCTGGCTGACACTTGGATTGCAGCATTGCCAAAGACCTTGGAGCAGAAGACCCATCTAGCTGTGCTTTTGACTTCTTGGAATGCCTATAACTTCATGATCTTTTACTTTTTCCTTTTCTCCCTATGAAAAATCTCTTCCCAGGGAAGAATCTATAGAACCTGTTCTCAGTAAGATATGAATAAGTAATAGGAGAAAAAAATCAATATCATTTCTTTATACTAACAATATACATCTAGAAATAATATAATAGAAAAATAAGACAAATTTTGTAGTAGCAAAACAAGCTATTAAAACATACAGAAATAAACAATACATGAGTGCTCCATATGGAAAAACTTTAAACTCTAATAGAGGACAGAAAACTAGATTTGAATAAATGGAAAGGTATTTCATGCTCATGAATAGAAACCCTTAATATTATGTAAATGCAGATTCTCTCCAAATCTATAAACTAAATCCAACTTCCGTCAAAATTCTGTCAACTTCTGACAGCTTTATTCTCATTATTAATTTGCTTTTTGAGAAACACTGAAAACTTATTATAAAATTTATTTGGAAAACCAAGTTTTTATTTTGAAAAAGAAAGGCAAACAGGAGCTATTTAAGACCTACTACTAAGCCATGATAATTCAAACACCATGGTAATGGTTCAAGAATAGACAAAATGGACAATTGGGACAAAATAACAGATGACTCAGAGACAGAACAGAATTTAGATCAGAAGCTGGTCCCACATATTAGTGTGGAAAAGGATGGACTATTTACTCTATGTACTAATCGGCTCATTATATTGAGAAAAATAAAACTGAATTTCCACAAATTGCATAGACAAATGTTGGTTCCAATTGGGTTAAGACCTCTTTTCAAAACTGTCATGAAGCCTATAGAAAAAATGATAAAGATCATTGTGACCTATGTGTGGGGGAAAGGATCCTTAAGATGCAAACATCAACAAACCATGAGATGAAACAAGATTCCCTTGACAATGTTGAGGTTGCCCATTCTGCTCACTGCTGCAGGTCCAGCCCAGTGCTGGGCCTCCAGTCACTCATTCAGATAATTTCATCTGGGCTAGCTCAGGAACTGTTCAGAGTGGTCTACAGCGCAATGGGCAAACTCACTCCTAGAGACTCAGGCAGCCCTCACCAATTCTTTATCGGAGACAGACATGGAGGTCAGAGAGCTAAGACCGTCAATCTGACAACCTACAATAAACTGACTTACAACAGTCACATGAACATGGAAGCAAATCCATCTCCAGCTGAGACTCAGGTAGGACCAGCCTGGCTGACACTGGGATTGCAGTATTGTGAAGGTCCTGGAGCAGAGGACCCAACTAGCCTGTGACTAGATTCCTGACCCACAAAAAACTGTGAGGTTTTAATTCACTAAATTTGTGGTGATTTGTTATGTAGCAATAACTAGCTACTATACAATTATATATGGAAACAATTTTGGATTAAGGTAGCATTGCAGCTCAATAGGTGAGGATTAGATTATTCAATAAAGGACACTGGAACAACTGGATAGCCATCTGGAGAAAGATGGAGCCCTGCTCATCCCACACTACAATAAATTCCAGCTGGGTCACAGATTTTTTTTTTTTTTTTGTGGGACCCTCGCCGGCGGCTGGGGAACAAACCAGTGCTGCAGAGGCTGCGGGCATCCTCGCAGCCCAGCGCTCAACCGCTGCACCACCAGGGGAGGCCCTGGATCACAGATTTAAATGCTAAACAAAATAATAAGTCTTAGAGTAGAATATATGGGGAAATTTTCCTAATTTCAGGGGAAATACTATCTAAATTACCAAACTTTCCAGATGCCAGGCTGCAAAAATTAACTCAACAGCATAAAATTGAAGAGTTCTGTATGAAATAACCATCATGAGTATGGAGGGAAGAAAAAACAAACCAGAAAAAAATTTCCTATCTTAAAAAAAAAATTTCCTATCTATACACTGACAAAAGGCTATTATTCTTAATAGAATTCAATGAATCAAAACAAACAATTCGAAAGAGAACGATCAGAGAACAGAGTTTACAGAACAGAAAATACCAGTGGCTCTTAAACCCAGGTAAAGATACTCAACTTCACTTGAATTAAGAAGAAACCAAATTAAAATTACAATGAGATACCATCTTCTAACCTCTCAATTTGCAAGTTTAAAAATAGTTTGATAATCCTGTGCTAAGGAATAGGGGAAACAGATACTTTCATGCATGTATTAATTAGTAATTTATATGGAGGGCAATTTGACAAAATAACTGTCAAAATATAACATAGTATTTCTAGCAGTAGAAATTATCTGCCTGTGATATCTGTTCAAAGGTATTCACTGAATCACAGTTTGCAGTTGGGAAGGATGGGAAATAACCAGCCTGTGGATTTATAAGTTACTGTTTAAATACCTGGTTAAAATGAACAAATAAGCAGTAGCGCTCTGTTTGCACTGATAGGTAAGTTTCCAAGGCTGTTCTAAACAAAGAATAGGATGTTGTGTAATGTATACTATTAGTACAAAAATTTACATATATCAGACATGCTTGTCCATGCAAAGAACTCTTCTGGAAAATTACACAAGGATAAAGTTAACAGTGCTTGCTTTCAGGTTGGAGAGTGAGGTGGCTGGGGAGGGCAGATGTTGTTTTAAAAATATTTTGGATGAATTCCCTGAATGTATCATCTAGTTGTAGTTATTTTTAATAAAAATTAAAAAGAGGTAATATTTTGACACCCAAATGCTCTCTCCAGGTCTTAAAAGGAAGCTGTACTTTCTGGCAGAGTTGGCATAAATTAAGAGACCATCCACTGCATTTTTTAACATGTATCTTAAAATAGTGTATTGCAAAGCCTAGAGGACACAGCCCTTTATGATTATTGGTTAGAGGACGGTCATGAATCATTTCCCAAAAACCAACTTGCTATCCACTACATTTGAAGGTTGTTTTCCCTGTGAAATGTTTAGGGAGAGCTGACGGTGCCATGCAAAGCAGGTGGAGGAGCTTCAGAGGAAGAGTCTTTTCCTCATTATTTCCTTGCCCCATTCCAGCCAGGCTGCTGCTCCTCTTCCCTGAGTCCAGCCTGTGACTCAAGCTCTGCAGCTGCCTTGACTGACCCCCTCCCTCCTTCCCTCTCTATGTCTGAACAGCCCTTTCTGGCATCTCTGCAGCTGTGACTCATAGCAAATGCTTTGCATTCCTGGATGTTCTGCATGGTTTTGGGACTCCCCTGTGGCTCAAAGCACTAGGCAAATTGAAGACAAAGAGGCCCCACAGCTGCCAAAATATTTTCAGGATGAGAGGAAAACTGTTAGGAAAACTGAAGAGGTTTTGTGTGGACCGAGCCAGCCGCTACCAGGCCTGGGCCTGCTTGGTAACTTGAGCAGGGTTGGGGGGTGCTGTGGAGGCCAAGTTAGGGGTTTGTCCAAGTCCCAGTGAGGCCCATTCACACATCCAGAAGCACCACACACCATCTGGACACCACCTCCATCTGTCTGGGAGGGACTGGGTTGAAGCTGCTCTGGAAAGCAGAAGTGTGTGTCTCATCCAGAAATGTTGTTTGTTTCAAATATTAGCTTACCTTTCATTCACTGGAAGGATCTTTTATTAGCTTATCCTGCCTTCCCACCACTGCAGCTGTATACAATTTAAGTTTACAGTCAGGTCAACTGACATCTACTTTTAAAACAGTACTGTTTTTTTCTTTCAGACTAAATTTTTTGTTTGAGTTTTATTGTGAAATAATTGATTATCCTCACTGTATAAGTTTAAGATATAAAGCATGATGGATTGATTTTTATATATTGTGAAACTATTAGTATAATAGTTTCAGCTAATATCTTCAGCTAATCTTCTCATAGAGATACAAAAAAAGAGAAGAAAATAACAAAGCAAAAAATTTCTCCATGTGACGAGAACTCTTAGGATCTACTTTCCTAACACCTTTTCCATGTATCATACAGCAGCGTTAGGTACAGTTATCATATTGTATATCACATCCCCGGCACTTATTTATCTTACACTGGAAATTTGTACCTTTTTTTTTTTTAAATAATAAATTTTATTTTTATATTCCCCCATACAACTGCACATGCCCCATTCTAATCCCAATCCCTCCCCTCCCGGCCCCCACCCCCCAAAAAGTGTCTCTGGTTCATAGTTTTTTGTTGATTTTGATTTTCACTTTCTTATAGTTATTCATTTTCCTGATCCCTTATTTAAGTTTTCTAGATTCCTGCTATGAGTGAGACCATCCGGTATTTTTCTTTTTCTTTTTGGCTTATTTTGCTGAGCATGATCCCTTCCAGCGCCATCCATGTTGCTGCAAATTGCATGTGTTTATCTTTTTTGAATGCTGAGTAATATTCCATGGTATATATGTACCACATCTTCTTGATCCAGTCATCTATTTTTGGGCATTTGGGCTGTTTCCAAAGCTTAGCTATTGTAAACAGTGCTGCTATAAACATAGGGGTGCAGGTGTTCTTTGGAATTGATGTTTCTGTGTCCTTTGGGTAAATACCTAGGAGTGGAATTGCTGGATCATATGGAAGCTCTATGTTTAGTAGGTCCAGAAATCTCCACACAGCTCTCCATAGTGGTTGGACCAGTTTGCACTCCCACCAACAGTGCAGAAGAGTTCCTTTTTCTCCACACCCTCGCCAACATTTGTTGTTGCTAGTTTTTTTAATATGTGCCATTCTCACTGGTGTGAGATGGTATCTCATGGTAGTTTTGATTTGCATTTCCCTGATTACAAGTGATGTTGAACATTTTTTCATATGTCTGTTGGCCATTTGCATGGAAATTTGTACCTTTTGACCATCTTCCTCTAGTCCTCTTCCTCCTCAACTTCACCTCTGATAATCACAAGTATGATCTTTTTCCATGATTTTTTCTATATTCTACATATAAGTGAGAGGATATTTTCTTTCTGTCTGACTTATTTCACTTAACATAATGCCTTCAAGTTCCATTCAGGGTGTCACAAATGGTAGGATTCCCTTTTATATGACTGAATAATATTCCACTGTAGGTACAAATATCACAATTTCTTTCTTCATTCATCGGTGGACATATGGGTTTTTCTATGTCTAGCCTTTGTAAACAACGCTGCTGTGAACACAGGGTGGGGCTACCTCTTGGACACAGTTTTTCATTTCCTTTGGATATGTGCCCAGAAGTAGAATTGTTGGATCATGTGGCAGTTCTTTTTCTTTTTTAATCTGAGGATCCTCCATACAGTAATTGGCTGTACCAATTACATTCCCTAACAGTTCACAGTGGCTCCCTTTTCCCCACATCTTCTCCAACATTTGTTACCTCTTGGTCTCTTTGAAGCTTGCCATCCTACTATGTGTCAGGTGACATCTTTTTTGTGGCCTTAATTGCATTTCCCTAATGACTAGAAACAAGAGCATCATTTCCTACTGTTGGTTTTTCATGTACCTTCTTTGGGATTCTTTCTTTCTTAAAACCATGGAACCCCATGTTGAAGTTTTTATGCAAAAGAACTAACCATGAAACTGCCCAAGTGGGAGGTGGGGGAGGACAAAGCCTTGCTTACTCATCTCCACCTTTATTTCTTCCCTGCTCCTCTTGCAGACTCCAATGGCGCATCATTTAAAATATTCTTTTAAATAAACTTTATCAAGGTAAATTTACATAAAATAAAAGATACTCATTTTAAGTAATCAGTGTGATGACTTTTGGTATATATATTATGCAAAGCATAAAACTATTGGCTTAGTAGATATGAATCCAATGAAATAACTGTATTATTTTTCTTCAGAGGGTCAACAGTATTTAGCATTCACCCATATTGTCCTAACCTGATAGACATGGTATTATCATCTGTTAAGGATCTTTTACTAGCAAATAAATTATAATATTCAATTTAGTTTTACTTGTACTTCATAGAAGAAAACAACATGGATTTAACAGAAAACAAATAAAAATGTAATGGAAAGAACTGCTAGATTTCCAACAAATTTTTTCCTTTTTATGAGACACATTGGCTCCTAGGAGATCTCTTTAAGATGAAGACAGATTTTGAAGGTCATTATGTGTTTTTTTTTTAATTTTTATTTATTTATTTATTTATTTATTTTTTAATAGAGGCATGTTTTTATTTATTTGTTTATTTGTTTGTTTTGTTTATTTGTACATGCACGGGGTACAGTCAGACGCGCGGGAGGGTGAGAGAATTCACCAGAGCCAGAGCGGGAAGCAGAGCAGGCAGAAGGACCGAAGTACACTGCTGAGGGGAGCAGCGGGCGGCAGAAGAGGTCTGCGCGCCATGTGGGACCCTCCTCTGGTGGCCGGGGAGCAGCCGGGGATCGAACTGGCGCTGCAGGGGCTGCGGGCAACTTCTCAACCCAGCGCTCAACCGCTGCGCCACTGGGGAGGCCCCATTATGTGTTTTTGAATCACGTTTCAATGCATTAATTGATCCCCTTCTATAAAAGATGAGGATAATAACATTCTCACACATTCTTCCATTTTCATATCTCCTCTCCCCAAAATTTATATTATTTTATATTGACAAACTTGTAACATTCCTTATTAACTAGTTTTGTAGTTAGGGTATCTTGCCCTTATTTTCTTTCAGTTAATTCTGCTTTTTTCTTCTTTTTTTTTAACATAGGGTATTTTAGTGCTTGTTTTATTTAATTCATGATCTTAAATTATTTTGTAGTATAAAGCACTTATAGGCAATCCCTTTGTTTCTTGGGTTAGTCTAAGTTGAACCCTTTATTTATCATGCTATGCCCTTTTCTTTGAAATGTTTAAAAAAAGGTATATTTGTAAAATTGCTTTATAATTTTTTTGATTCTGTATTTTCAACTTTCTATTTGCTTTGAACCAGGACTTTTTTCCCCTCTAAAATGTATGAAACCAGTTTATTCTAGTTTGTTTTCTTCTCTTTGCTATAGTTTAAAGATTAGAAATTTTGTGTCTTCATGCTTTTCTGTGACCTGAGGTGATGGCAGACAGTGGAGGAGATAGACATGAACTGGGTAATATGTAGTCTTAGAATATTTTGCTCTGCTATTCCGAAATCTTGTTAATATCCTGTACCAGTTTTATTTCACTCAGTTGGAGGCTGTAAGCTTTTCATGGGGTGGGGATGGGGGAGGAAATTTTTGTTTCAGATTATTTGACAATCAGGATTAGCTGGGATTTATAATTAGTAATAGATATGGCTCAAGAGCCTTACTTGATAATTAGTTATTGAAATTCACGGTATTTCATGAAGTCCCTTTTCTTTGTTTGATAATTGATATCACAGGCAAATATTTGTTTTACTACTTAAAAAAGCTAGGTGTTCATTTCATTAGGCATTGGGGTATCTTGATACCTGGATGTCTCTAATAGCCTCTATTTTTTTAATGCTAAAGATAAATATCATATTAATGAATTCAAACTTACAGAAAAATGGCAAGAAAAACTTTAAGTCATATGAAAGAAAACTGTCACAGAACTTACTACTTTGATGTGATAAGGAAGATTTACCTTAAACAGTCTTCTTCTAAGATGAGAGGAAAATCAATTTCATCTTTAATTATAGTTGATCTATTGAGTAAAAAATAAAAAGAAAAACATAATTAAAAATACTACAAAGTTAATATTTATCTCCCAAAGTTCAATCATTTATCTTAAGTCCTATTACCTTTGGGATATAAAGAATAGAAAAAAAGTTTTAAATCCTTCTTGTCTGACCTTATTATGTCCATGGTTTTGGTGGCTACCGCTTAGCTAATTGAAAGGTTAAATAGATTAATAGATAAGAATACAGGTGGAGACCTGATATATCTCAATTTTTGCAAGGCATCTGATAAAACCCCTCCTAATATCTGTTATTTGTGTGGGAGGGTGGAGTTGTGTCTACTGGGTGATTAGGTAACTAGGAGAACCATAGCTGGCTGAACAATCATTTCTCAAAGATTAATGTGATCAGGGAAACCTGATCACAGTGCATCCATCAGACCCTATCTTATCCTATCTTTTGACTGAGGCTAGAGAAAGACAAAGACTCGTTTAGAAGGTGTGTAGCAGCAGAAACCTCGGAATGAAAACTAACTGGATGGCTTGACTCATGACTTGAAAAATACTGCTCTCAAGGGATGAACCCAGATTAACAAGATGAAAATTTATAGATTGTAGCTATTTACAAAGTGGGTTGTTCAGAATCCTAAAGCTTTTTGGGGCGTATTTGGGAGGAATCCTAAAACAATATTAGGGAAGTCTAAGGGCAGGAGGGACACTGAGCAGGTTTTCTATGATCCCAGCAGACGTGGGGGTAAGGGAGGAGTCAGAGTTCCAGAGCCCTCAGTGGCTTTTATTGGGATTACCAGGTACTTGGCAGGCAGGGGCGCTGGGGGCCCGGGAGGCTGGCAGGCTTCCCAGCCCCCAGCAAGTCTTCACCCTGGGCTCTCCGGCCTTCTGTCACGGTCGCTCTGCTCTTCTCATGGCTCTGTCTCTCTCTCGGCTTCTCTGTTCCTGCTGGTGTCTCCGTGATACCACCCTTATAAGCCCAGCCTTAGCCCAGATGAATCCCATCTACATATGCCCACACCCTACTCCAGGTGCCCGCCATCAGGCATGCATTCAGGACCACAGATCCGTCATCTATCCTAATGGTGGGAGGGCAGAAAAGCCTGATACTTTTACCTTACCCTACAGGAAGCTACCCTGTCCTCCACAACGGAGACCAAAAGGGCAGTTCTCCCCCTAGGAGCCTGAACAAGGACCAGATCCAAGCACAGTCAATCAAATGCTGCCACTTGGTACTTTACATCCTGAGGGGCTGATGACAACACTAGGTCTATTAGGGATGCTTCAGGGTGACTCTACAGGAAGGAGAGCCTAGAAGGGTGAGGTGCATGTCCAGTGACAGCACAAGGATGGTGCTTGACCCATATGGCAGTGCCAGCCTTGTGGTGGTGAGTGCTCTGTTGTTGAGTGGCACAACTGGTTCTATCTGAGCCATTCCCACCTTTCTTTGATTTTTGGTGCAACCAGATACCCATATAATACATTTCATTTTTACTTAAGGAACTGTATAGTTGGCTTCTGTTATTTATAATTAAGATCCTTGGGCCTCCCTGGTGGCGCAGCAGTTGAGCGCTGGGTTGCGAAGCTGCCTGCAGCCTCTGCAGCGCTGCTTTGATCCCCAGCCACTGAACGAGGGTCCCACAGGGTGCTCAGACCTCTCTGCCTCCCGCTGCTCCCCTCAGTGGTGTACTTTGTCATTCTGCCTGCTCTGCTCCCTGATCTGGCTCTGGTGAATTCGCTTACCCTCCCGCACTTCTGACTGTACCCAGTGCTAGTATAATTAAATAAATCTTTAAAAAAAAAAAAAAAGATCCTTGACAAGTACAATATATCTGAGTTCAGAATCCAAACATCAACTGGGAAGAACTGGATACGTAGCAATGTGTGTGAAAAAGATGGAGGGATCTTATCTTAGTGCAATAGATGTGTGATCAGTGCTGATGAGTTGTATTAGAAGGGGGGAGGGGAGTAGAGAGGGCAAGGAAGGTCAGAGGCTTATGGCTTCATTCTCCATCTCTTGCTAGCTACGACTAGAATATATCTTCCTGTTCAACATGTTTTAAGGCAGACAGAGACAAATTTAAATATGTCTAGTGGGAGAATGACTTGGAAAGCACTGAGTCTTTATATGAGGAGTCAGGGAAATTTGACTTAGAAAAGTCTTAGGAGTGATAGTCTACTATTCTGTTAATTACCACTGAGCTAATTTCATGAAAAGGTAATGATAGAAAGACAGATACTAAATGGCCTAAAAAATTAACCCCCTGACATACATACACACAAGTCCTGTGTTCTGTGTGGATATCACAAAAGTGAGAGAAAGTAAGAACTGAGACTTTCCAAATGGAAGTAGATTGAGAAATGTGATTTTCAGGGACACTAACTTCTATTACTAGCATGAGTCTGTAGGGACCACTTCCTGGGCTCCAAGCAGACTTAGTAAACACTTTTCTCTTGGGGCTCTTATTTGTGGGGTACCGCTACCCTCTTCCCCGAACAGTGTTCAGAAACTAACAGTTCCAGAGACTCTAGATGACTTACCTATTCCATCCTAGGAGAAATACAAGAACTAACTTTAGTGAAATATCCCAAAGGTATTCTATATTATTACTTTTCCTTCTGGTTTCAATGTGTTCCAATGAGTTATAAGCCCAAAGACCTATTTTTTCCTTGCAAATTCATAATAAGTCTAAGACAATTTCCATCATCAGAGAATCCTGTAAGATAATGTATGGGCATTTTGAATTAACACAATTACAAGAAAGAAAAAATCGTATTATGCATGCATATGTTATTTGCACATTTCTTCCAACTTCTACAGGGAATGTAGAACTGAAATAATTGAAGATATTTTGCATTTGTAAGAAATCAAAATCTCTGAAAGTAATTCAACTCATTTACTAGCTTGTCTGTAAAAGGGTTTTACCACTCCCAGGATTCACTGGCAGTGAGAATTGTGGGGAAATTGAAGCCTCCCCATTTTTAGTTCTTGGCAAAGCACTCAGAACTAAGGCTTCTCTCTGGGAAATAGAATCTGGGGATTCAATAATGGCAGGATTTAGAGAGTCAAACAAGAGCTTCATTCAAGCTCATGAGGGTTGCTACAAGTAACAGCACTGTAGGAATCCTTCTGACTATTAAGCATGCATATTAACCAGTTTAACTTTTGTTCATGGTTTTTTTACTTAAGGCAAATGATCTGGGACTGAGCCATCCCTCCTTCTCTCTATCGTGTCTTGTGACACATATTTATGCAAAGTCTGATTGAGGCTAGAAGAGCAGTATGTACCAGTAGAACAGGCTGTGATGTCCTTGGGATAGGGGTGAGCAGCTGTGGAGAAGAGGCCTGGCATGTTTTTTTCTTCTCTCCAGCACCTAGGACAGTGCAAGCATCTGGTTAATGATGGTTGAATTGAACTAAAAGGAATGGAACTAACTGACCCACACAAATAGGAAATATTTGCTAGGTATTTAGAAAATAAATTAATAGATAAAACAACTATTTTAGCAGGGAGATTCTTACTTGATCTTCATATAATAGCTGAATCATTATATAATAATTTATTGGGAATTAAGGGAACAGAGAAATGCCATTTTAAAGGAAACCAGTTAAAACTGGCATTTTAAATTTCTATTGCTGTGCTCAGGAAAAATGAATTATTAACAATTGCAAAGTAAACCATAAGACAGGTAAATATATACTTACCCAAAAGGAAACATTCCTATGTTTATTACAGCACTATTCACAATAGGTAAGCTATGGAAACCATCCAAATGCCCAAAAATAGATGACTCAATCAAGATGTGGTACATATACACAATGGAATATTACTCAGCAATCAAAAAAGATCAACTCATGCCATTTGCAGCAACATGGATGGAGTTGGAAGGGATCATGATCAGTGAAATAAACCAGAAAAAAAAAAAAGAAAAATACAAGATGGTTACACTTTTAGGAGGAATGTAGAGGATCTAAATAAGTGATCTGGGGGAAAAAGTAATTATAATAAAGTAAACATCAGAATCAACAGGCAACTATAAACCAGTGACATTCTACAGTGGGGAGAGAGGGGAGTAGGATCAAAACAGGGGTGGAAAGAGCACAAAGGACTATGGTGATGGTACACAGGTGAATTGGTGGTAGGAATTAAATGGGGACTATAACTGAGATGAGAAAGCATACATTTTACAAAAATGAGGAATGATATAAAAATATATATAAAATTTAAAAGGAAGAGTGACCTTGTGGGGAAAAAAACCAACTTCATTCTAATGCCAAAATATAGTTGAGTTAGACCAACAGACTTAAATGTAAACTAATTCATGAAAGGATTAGAACATAATGCGGAAAGATTTTTATGAGTACATGCATGGGATTTTTTTTTTTTTTTTGGAAAGTGAATTTAAGAAGTTCTTTGGAGTAAACATGTATTTTTACAAATCACAGAGAAATTAGAGGTCTTAGGAAATCTGATTTCCTGACCAAGAATTGAAGACTAGGTTAGTTTAAAGCTCTGAAAGTTTACTCTTAGAGGAAGGAGTGGAGAATTCCAAACACTCCCTTTGTGCCTGCTAACTGCTGTTGAAATACAAATGCAATGGCTATTTCACAATCTGCAGGTCCTGAGTGGAGTGACCTATAGTCCACATGTCACAGGGTTACCTTCTCCTTTGAAATTCAAAGAACATTCACTTGTCCACTTGTGGCTCGCCTCAAGGAAATTTGGGTAATTTATGCATATTCCTCAGGATTTGGAGAATTAATTTCAGCTATCAACTGTTCTGCTTCACCATGAGCTGTTGCTGCTCTGCATTGCTTTGTCCCAGATGAGGAATGTTAGCTCTTGCCCTTTCAGTCCTTCTTAAATTATTCACAGAAGGCATTTGTGTATGGAGCAAACTATTGAATTAGGTGGCTTGGTTTTCCTTTCCCTTTGACATGCTTTTTTCTTCCTGCCTTAAACTTAGGTTTTAGGGTTCTCTACTTATCAACTTATTTCTCTTCATACACAGAACTGTTTTGATCTTTTCTAGGCCTATGTTTGCATATCCCAAAATTTATTAGTATGCTTTGTAAAACAATGGATCATCTAAGGGATGTGGACCTTAAGCTCCAAAGGAAATTACTGACAAAAATTTTTCTTTGCCATGTAAATACTGGAGAAGATATTTCCCTGGTAGGAGTTACTGTATTGTCCTTAGAAGGCAGAAGTGGCTATAATCAGTTGTAATCTTACATATGCGCTGCTTCTTCATCATTGGAAGAACCAGATTTCACAGCCACTAGGGGTAGATTTTCCCCTTTGCCTAACATTTTTCACTACATAAAAGAAACAAGAAATATTTCAGAAAAAGAAATAAATGGAATCTGAACTGTAAGGAAGAATTGTCTCTATTTGTGGATGACATGATTTTAGATATAGAAAAATCCTAAAATTCCACAAAAAAAGTTAGCTCTGATAAAAATATTGAGTAAAGTCGCAAGACAAAATTAGCATACAAAAATCAGTGGCGTTTCTATACACTAACAATGAATTATCTGAAAAAGGAAAAAAAAAATCTCAATTATAACAGCACCAAAAACTAGAAAACACTGAGAGCCAAAAATAAAATTCTACATATGGAGAAGGTCTTCTCCTTCTTGGCAGGGACACCTCAGAGCCTGTAGGAGTCCATAAGACAATGGATTTGTCTTGCTGTTAAGAACCCTTTGGTGCAAAGCAATGGAAACTTCTGGAGAATCCACGGTCCGAGCCTGCCCCCGTCATGTTTATAAGTTGCTAGAAGAAGCATGACTCCACCCTTATATCAAGAGGAGTAATTTTAGAATAAAAGATTCAAATAATCTCTGGTCCTTACAACTCCCTGAGCACAGACAATGCTCAGTAAATCAACTTTGTAAGATCAAAGGATTGCTTTGAAGTTATGAACAGTGATTCTCTTTTATCAATGAACTAAATCTGTTAGAAACCCATCTCCTTTAACTAGTTAGTTAACTAAAAATGTTAGAAATTAACTAGATGTCCTCTTTCCTTTGTTAGGAAAAAAAAAAAACACTTATGTATTCTTCCTGTGCATACAACTTACCTATATAACTAAGGCCAAAAACTGAGACCAGTCACTCAGAAAATCTGATATAGATCCGCTGGGCCACAGTCCTCAGTTTGGCTCTGAATAACCTCTTCAATAAAGTTCTCTTTTACTAAACTTTGAATTTGCTTCACACTCGTGATTATTTCAGCTTGTAATACTTAGGAATAAGCATAAGCAAGGAAGTAAAAGATATCTACACTGAAAACTATATAAAATATATATATTTAAAAAAAGAAACCTATATGACTTTGATTTAAGAAATAAAAGAAGAGCCAAATAAATGGGAAGAGTATCTTGTGTTCATTGAGTAGAAGTAATGTTGTTAAGATGCCCATACTATTCAAAGCCATAAATTCAATGGAATCCCTATCAGGATTCCAAGGCTATTTTTAAAAATAGAAATAGAAAAACCAATCCCAAAATTTATATGGGACACAAAGGATCCTGAATAACCAAAGCAATCCTGACAAAGAAGATTAACATGGAGGTACCCCACTTCCTGGTTCATTTTTAATTTTATAATGTTATAAAATTTTATAACGTTGTAACATTAAAAGTTAATTTTAATTTTATAAAATTAAAAGTTAATTTTAATTTTATAAAATTAAAAGTTAATTTTAATTTTATAAAGTTAAATTACTCAAGATAGGACGGTACTGGAATAAAAGCAGACGCATAGACCTGTGTCAATGGAACAAATTGAGAGTCCAGAAATAAAGCATTGCATATGTGGCAAACTAATACTTGATATGAGAGTCAATTTCAATGTCTTTTCCTTTTTTTTTTTAAGAGTTATTTATTATTTATTTATACAAGCACTGGGTACAGTCAGAAGCGCAGGAGGGTGAGAGAATTCACCAGAGCCAGAGCGGGGAACAGAACAGGCAGACTGATGAAGTGCACTCCTGAGGGGAGCAGCGGGTGGCAGGAGAGGTCTGCGTGCCACGTGGGACCCTTGCCCAGCGGCCAGGATGGAGCTGGCGCTGCAGAGGCTGTGGGCAGCTTCGCAACCCAGCACCCAACCGCTGTGCCACATTGAGGCCCTCAATGTCTTTTCAATGAAGGAAACACTTTTCAGTAAATGATTCTGGGAAACCTGGCAATTCTTATGCAAAGTTATAAAACTAGACCCTTATACCTCTCAAAAAATTAACTTGAAATGGATCAAAGACTTAAATGTAAGGACAGCAACCTAGAAGAAAACATAGGGAAAATGTTCCTTGACACGGTTCTTGGCAATGAAACGAACAAAAAAAGTGGGATTATATTAAATTAAAAAGCTTTTGTACAGAAAAATGTATGATCACAAAATGAACAGACAACTTATGGACTGATAAAAAGTATCTGTAAATCATATATCCGAGAAGGGGTTAATATCCAAAATACATGAAGAGCTCATACAACTAAATAGTAAAAATACATAATCTAATTTAAAAATGAGCAAAGGCTCCCATGAAGGAAGGAAAGATGGCCTGGGGGCATCGATGCCCATGAAGTAGACCTTGCACATTCTGGACCTTGTGGAGCAGAGTGAGAGTGGCTGTGCCATCACTCATGGCGAGATCAACCATGGTGAGCTGGTGCCAGGAGGCGGAGGGTGTGGTGTGGGGGGGGCTGTGCTTTTGGATTCAATGTCAAATAGAATTTTTAATATACACTATATGATTAATGATATTTCTTTTGCTATGAAGTCTTATTTTGGTTTTAATATTTCATATATTCTAATAAGGTACACTTTTTCTAAATAAAAATAATCAAGAAAAAAATTGGGCAAAGTATCTGAATAGACATTTTCCTAAAAGAGATGTATGACTGGCCAGCATGTCCATGAAAATGTGCTCAACATCACTAATCATTAGGGAAATGCAAATCAAACTCACAATGAGATGTCACTCCTGTTAGAGTGGCTGTCATCAGAAAGACAGAAGATAACAAGAGCTGGGGAGGATGTGGAGGAAAGGCGATCCTGTGGTTGGTAGGACTGTATATTGGGACAGACACTAAGAAGAACAGAATGGAGGGTCCTCAAAAAATTAAAAATCGAACTACTATTTGATCCAGCTATCCCATTTCTGGGAATGCATCCAAAGAAAACAAAAACACTATGTTGAAGAGATAGCTTGATCCTCACATTCATGGCAGCATTATTTTCAATAACCAAAACATGGAAACATGTCCATTGATGGATAAGTGGAGATACAGTGATTGGGTTGTTGGAAAAGTCATGACATGTATTTTCTGTTGTTTATGCAAAAATGTGTCATGACTTTTCTGAGGACCACACACACACACACACACACACACACACAGAGGAATATTATTTAGCCTGACAAAAGAAAGAAATCCTGTCATTTACAACCAACAATTGGACCTTGAGAGCACTATGCTAATTGAACCAAGACAGGAAAAGATGAATGCTGCATGACTTCACTTATATGTGGAAGCTAAAATACAAAACAAAATGGGAAAAAAGATCAGATTTGGGGTTATCAGAGTTGGAAGGAATTGGAATGTAGTCAAAAGGTATATAAACTTCCAATTATAAGATAAATAAGTACTGAGGATGTAAAATAGAACATGACTATAGCTAACACTGTTTTGTCCTCTATTTGAAAGTTGCTGAAAGATTCTAAGAGTTTTTATAAAGAAAAACATATTTCTTCTTTTTATTTTTCAGTCTCTATATAAGATGATAGTGGTTAACTAAATTTATGGTAATCATTTCATAGTACATGCAAGTCAAATCTTTGTGCTGCACACCTAAAATGTACACAGTGCTGTAAGTCAACCATATCTCAATAAAATTACAAAAAAGAGAAGTATTTCAAAGGTAAAACACAACAACAAATTCATTATGGAGTTTCTAGGTCCTGTGAGAGTGCTTGATTTAAATCCTGTTGAACATATTTAAGTACTAGTTCCTAAAATCTTTGGACTTCTCAGTGGTAGGGCTCATGGACAAGTGTTATGGTTTTAAGTTATTCAGGTTATTGGTTTGACTTAGTATCATGTCTGGATGAACACTTTAGTAGCTCAAGTTCTTTCTGACTGCTGGGACAGTTAAATCCTGCTACTTTTAAAGATTTTGATCCTGTATTAGTCTGTGTCTTGGTAAGACACTTTTTTCCTTTGTTTCCAACACTCTACAGTTTCCCAATGTCTGCCTGTAGTCATATTTATATTGCTCAATACTCTGAAAATAAAGAACATTTATATTCCATGGTATTTAGTGTTGCATAAACTTATCAGATCTTCCTCATATTATTTTATTCCTGTTGTCTTAAAAAATAACACACTTGGGCCTCTCTGGTGGCGCAGCGGTTGAGCGCTGGGTTGTGAAGCTGCCCGCAGTCTCTGCGGCGCTGGTTCGATCCCCGGCTGCATCCCGGCCACCGGAGGAGGGTCCCACATGGCGTGCAGACCTCTTCTGCCCCCCACTGCTCCCCTCAGCAGTGTACTTCAGTCCTTCTGCCTGCTCTGCTCTCTGCTCTGGCTCTGGTGAATTCTCTCACCCTCCCGCGCTTCTGACTGTACCCAGTGCTTGTATAAATAAATAAATAAATCTTAAAAAAAAAAAAAAAAATAAAATAAAATAAAACTTGTCTCTGCCACTTGATAAATCAGGGCAAGATAGTTAACTCTCTGCTCAAGTTCCTCATACTGTGCAACTATTAAAAAAAAAAACAAAAAACCAAAAACACACTTTAAGATAGGCAATTCATGTGTACAATTAAAAATTCAAAAGACTATTAGCTAAAGGTGATTCTTCCTCTCACGGCTGTCCCTCAGTCACCTCTTTTGTAGAGGAAACCACTAGGACTAGTTTCTTATTTCTCCTTCAGAGGAGAAATTTTTACACAATCCCCTCGTCCCATACCATGCATTCTACACACACTACACTATACACAGAGGTCTGCATTTTGGTTCTTATTTATCCATAGGCCTTGGTAATGCTCCATATTTTTTCATACAGAACTATCTTATCTTTACTTTAAGTTGCATATCATTCTTCTTTATGGAGGTACCATCATTCACTTTACCAATGCCAATCAATGGATGTTTATATTGCTTCTAATCTTTTGCTGCCACCAATAATTCTGCAGTAAATACTTTATATGTGGGTCATTTTGCATGTGTGAGACTATTTAATGAGTAAATTTGTAGAAGCAGAATTGCTGACTTAAAGGGAAAGTGCAGATTCAGTTTTCATAGATTTTATCCAATTGCCCTCCAAATAGGTTGTACCTGTGTATGTTTCTATCAGTAATACCTGTTTCCATTTGAGAGTACCTGTTTCCTAGCATATTGTTAAGCTTTTGAACTTTGTCAGTCACATAGTCGAAAAGTGTTATCACACACCTTTAATTTGGATTCTTCCCTCTAAGTGATTTGAAATGTCATCTTTATCATACACTAAATTTATCTATTTGATATACTTCTGGACTTATTAATTTATTCAATTGGTCTTTCTTATCTCCTTAAAGAGTATAACTAAGGTGTTTTGATCACAGTAACTTTACAGTGTGTTTTATTCTAGAGTAAGTCTAATTACCCTTCTTCTATTTCCCTAAGAACTTTCCTGACTATTTTTGTTTCTGTATGAACTTGAAAAATGGTTTGGCTTTGAAAAAGTCCTTTTGCATTTTTATTGCCATTGCATCACATGAAAAGGTTATTTAGGAATACTCACCTATAAAAGTTTATCATTGAATGCTTATCATTCTTAGCCAAATCTTTTGAGTCATGTCGTCCTTGTGCTTATAACAACAATGCCTTAAATAAAATATCTCCTTATTAGTTCTTCATAGCATCCTTAGAAACAGGCAGGGAAGATAGAAGATAAGGGATTAGCTCAAGATTATACTTAATGGAAAGTTCTAATCAACTTTATGTCTACTATATGGTATTTTCACTAGAAGATTTTACAAAAATTCAAAAACGACACAAATTTTCCTACCAAGGATTAAAAAGTCCTATTGTAAAAAGCTAGCAACATGCAAGCACAATTCCGCAGTGTATTTCTTCATGATGATCTGTGGCCAAGTAATGTGGAATACATTCCAATCATGGAGTAACAATCTGAAAAGTATTTTGAAACCAGAGTTGGCTTGAATGCTGTACAATGAAACCCTGGATCTTGGCCTAGTTCCCAGATTTTCCCTTTTTGGTTTTGCAGCAAGTTTGGTCATGCCTAGGAATTTGCTGAATATGGTGCTCAGATCGGTGACTTTTTGAATGTCACATTGGGATCAATGGCATTTATCTGTCCCTGGGTTTTTATACTAAAAATTTTAGACATACTGCAAATAAGTTTAAACATATTGAAAATAAGTTCTTAACTGGTGCTCAGGAAGCCTGGCCCAAGGGTGCAAATGGGAAGGGCAGTTTGTGAATTGATTATGGATGGCAAAGGTCTTGAAAGAGAATGTTCACTTGTGGATATTGGATTTCATACCTGGGCACACTGGAGTTCCAGCTGGATAATCTTCAAGTCTTTAAATAAATATCTAATAGATTAAAAAAGCTATCTTTAAGCCTGCCTTTGACAAATGGGCACTCACTAAAGGTCAGCCAAGATTTGATTTAAATAGTTGAGTATCTACAGAAACCTGTGCACTTCCTACCATAACCCTAGTTAACACTGGGGCGCTAAACGCGAGCCTGTATTAGTTATTTAATTACTTAGGACAGAAGAATGTGTTGACATACTTCTGAGTGTATTTTTGGATTACATTTCCAAAATAATTACTATTTTTCATCATTTTGTTTTCATCAACACTTTTCTTTTTCAATGCCATGTGTAATTAAGAGCTGATTTATGCAGAATAATTTTTAAAATGTAGTACAGTATACACACCTAGGTAATGTCTGAGGTTTCTGCCACCTCATAAATGAGAACATTCTTTAGCTTGCAACAAAAAGGCTACTGTGTTCTCAACTAGAATGTTATGCAAGAATCTGAATAGCATAGTTTATTGAATGCTTAGCCTGTTTTAGTGACATACCAAAAAGTAGGACAAAGGCTAAAAGCAAAATGTGGGGCAAGTTTTAAGCAATGAAGTTGAAGGCACATGGGTGATGAAATATTTAATTATCAGGGCAAAGACCGGGTTATACAATCTAGTTAGTAAAAGATAAAGATGAGCTGTGAATAGGATAGCTGTTAATTCAATGATCTCACTGGTTTGCTGAGCAGTGTTGCCAAAATCATAAATTAGATTCTCTGAATAGAGAATGATGAAGGTGGAGGTTTTTATATGACATTTGGCTTTTATTTGGCAACACAGTAGACTACAAATATTAGGGATTTATTTATAAGCAAGAAATTAATGAAAGTTAAGGCAAAATGGGTAACAAAAGAAACCTGTTACAATAAATTAAGCATATGATATAAAGTTAGGACAGCATTTTTAAGTCCGGGAAAATGACACAAAACAAATTTGATGATTTTTCTTATATTATTTGTCTCAAGAATATCATGAGAAATACTTTCTACAAATGTCACAGTACTTCTGAGTCTTGCCTTAAATATTGTTAAATTTTGTGGTTATAGGGCTCAACAAACCTCAGATAAGTGGAAATCTGAGTCTTACAAGCCTCTTAGAGAAATGTAAAAAAAAATATTTACTAAATCTAAATACTAAAGGGGATTCCAGCTCCTTTTGATGGCAATTTTTAAATTTAAGATTTATACACTCTTTAGGGACCTCTATACAGTCAAGAACCTGAGTGAAACACTCTCTCTCTTTCGTTTAACATATAATTAAGAATTGTTGAATGACTTCAATTCTGAATTCTGGGCAAAAAACTTATTAAAACTGTGGCTTTAATGGATTATTAAATCATTAAATTTAATGGGTTATTAAAACAGGATTATGACAGATTATAATATAGGATATTATAATATAGGATATTTTCGGTTCCTTTCAAGCCAAGGGAATGTGTATTGACCACTCCCATGATTATTTTATTCGTGGGTAAGAATATTTAGCTGCTATATACACTGAAAGAAATACAGGTAAGAATATACTTACTGGGCAACTCATTTATCAAAACATTAGCCATTCAGCTCACAGCCCTGATGGAGGCATAGCAGGATGTGATCATGTTGGTTTATTCTTCCTCATGAAATGCTCACTTGTATCCACTTGCAAGCACTGTGGTTATTTTTACCAGCAACCAAGGCCACAAACTAATTCTGAGTTATAAGTCTCAGGCCACTAAATATAGATTTATGTGGAGCCTGGTCCTGTGACCCATGGAGAATGCATCCCCACACGACACACTGGAAGAGGCAGTGGGGCGCTGGTCTAAGCACACACAACGGACTCCACCATCACCTCGTTGCTGTGGGACCTGGGACTGATTATCCATACTTTTCTGTGTCTTTGTTTCCTTGTTTAAAAATAAGGTCTAACAAAAGTACCTACCTCCTAGGAGTATTTTGAATATGAAATGAGGAAATATATTTAAAGCATCTAGAACAGTGTGGGGTAGCTAGCAAATAGGTAAATAATGATTTTAATGAAAGTCACATGATTGAACATTTTTAATAAACTTGACAAACTAGTAAGCTTATACACAGTGTGTGTGTGTGTGTGTATTTATGTATGTATGTGTGCATGTCCTTAATTCTTTTTACAGTAGCGAGAGGAGAAAATGAGCAGATATTCCTTTGAAATGGGTGGTGGGAGCAAATCTTTACAATCACAAATCTAGTTGAGAAAAATTTACAGGATTTAATGTTTGCGTGTTCTGTCTGCAAATTGGCATTAGTATGATGAGCCAGACTCACTCAGTCTCCACCAGACACCCTAGTTGTTTTCACTGCCTAAGCAACTTACCACTGTCACCACCTGTGGAAACACTTTCTCTTCCAGGCTAGCCCTTCCCTCACTGTGCTGTGGTATCTGAAGTCGTCTTTGGTACAACAGGGTCAGCCAACCATCACAGACAAAAGTTTTATGTAGGGACTTACCTTGGGATGCATTAACTGGCAGAGTTGGGATTAATCATGACAGTCTAAGCATCAGAACATGGCTATACTTTGTGTGTGTATACATATATTTAATGATGTGTATATATATATGTGTGTGTGTGTGTATAAACTGTGATTCTTAACCTTCAAAACAGTTGCAATACCAAAATTAGCTATTTACTTGAGATTTGGAACTGTTCCTTCTTTAGAAAAAAACACAAAATGTTAGTGTGTCCCACAAAACAAATTGACCAACTATCATATCCCATGAGTCCCATTTTTTTTCTTTGCTCTCCTCCCTTCCATTGCTTCACTTGCAGAGAGTGAATCACAAATGAACATCTGGTATGGAGACAAAATAATCTGCAGCAGAAGGCAGGGGGAAATCACTGGCTCCCCCACCCCATTTCACCAAGGCAGTGATTGCTGACTTCAAAATAAAGTTCAATAAATGGGAAAAATATAACATAATCTAGGGTGAGGAGACAGCAAGTGCAAAGGTAGAGAGGTGAACATACAGTTATGTTTAGGGAACAGCATCTGAAAGGAGATACTATGAGGTCTCTGTGAGGGGGAAACTGCATCTGAGATACCATGGGGCACACCACTGGAGAGCGTGTTGTTATATTTAAGATCATACCCCCAACTGATACATTTACCTTAGTCCTGATACATCCCACTTTTCTGCTGCATCCTAAGATCTCAATTTGGTTTTTTTTTTGGTTGTAAAAAGTTTAAGGTCCCTTTTTCTGAGACCCATTCTCATGTTGTCTTCACAATTTTCATGAAATTTGGCCACATAATTTTCCTACTAGAATATTAAACTACATCAAAAGATTTTTACATATTTTCAATTCATGCTTATTCCTAACACTTAGAATAGAACCTGGTACATAGTACTAGTCTAGATATAATTCAATGACTTAAGCATCTATGATCTGGTGCCTGTGGCCCAATGGCAAGACATGCTTCCTACCTTCAGAGAGCTTGCAAACGAGTGTTGAGAGACAGGTCATCCAACCCCTAGATTCAGACATGGTGAAACTGGTGTAATTACTGAGGTACACATTGTTAATGGAAGGTCCTATGGGTTGAGTGTCTCCCCCAACTATGTTGAGACATAATTCCCTATGTGATAGTGTTTGGTGGTGGGGCCCTTGGGAAGTGAGGTCATGAGGCTGGAGTTCTCATGAAGAGATTGGTGCCTTTATAGAAAAGACCCTAGAGGGGTCCCTTGTCCCTTTTGCCATGTGAGGTTATAGTGAGAAGCGGTAGTCAATGAGGAAGCTGGTTCTCATCACATACTGAATCTACTGTGGCCAAGACCCTGGAATTCCCAGTCTCTTGAATGGTGGGAACTGGTTATAAATCACCTAGTGTATGGTATTTCTGCTTATAGCAGCCCGAATGGGCTATCATAGGGTACTCACAAACAGTAATTAATTTCAACAGGAGGACTAAAGATAAGCTTCGCCAGATCTTGCCTTAAAGACAAAATTTCCATTAGGAATGTGGAGGTTGTATTTGGTCAAATGACTATTAATTTGAACTCAAAAACTCATCCCAAAATAGCTTAATAAAAGGAAAGTGTAACTGGGAAAAGTAGGGCAGGGTTGGCTCAGCCCTGCTCACATATATATACATTCTTCTCTCCCCTAGCAGATGGACGTACTTTCACGTCACAGGAGAAAGGGGTGGGGTTTGACCACAGATGACTCCATACTCATATCATGCTGTGTCACTAGGAATTTTATGATCAAACCTAGGTGACCCTACTTTCCCTTTCTTAGAAACACAGCCTCTGGGCTAACTTCTCTGGAATGTCTAAGCCACCAGGCCAGCATGACCATGCAGCAAGTCTCTTTCCTTCCCTATTTGCCTTTTCTTTCTCCCCATACTGTCCTGCATCAATTCTATATGTAGTTTCTATACCATCGCCATTTATTTCCCAACCTACGGCCAATAACA